CAGATTTGTTCAAAAACTTTCCTTTGAACCCTGGTAATGCAATTGGCTTCTTGCCATATCATATATCATATCTAGAGTAGGCAGTTGCTTTTGTACTCCATATAAACTTTGTACAAATTGACGGACTGCACACCGGTCAAAATCATGAAGTTTGTGCTTGGACGTTTTTGGTTTGCGCAACTTATAAAAGTAAGCCTACTCGTACCCCTGTCACCTACCGTAGCTAGGCTACTTTTTTGACATAGCGTCTACTTTGGTTGACTCCCTTGCCTGACAATGAACGATTTGCCCATTCTCCCCACGTGTTAAACAGAAGTGGTATCGAGTTCATGCTACGGTCAGCATGTATTGCAAGTGTTAAATCTACCCGTAGCAACCAAGTCTATTCGTCTAGATTCCCTGTCCCGCCTACCATGTTGTTCGTAGCACCAGTGTCTAAAGTTAGACGAACTGGGTGAGGCTCATAAAAGGCGTTGAGGAATAGGGAGGGTTCAACACTCACACGTTTAATGCTGGTCTGATCAAATAAGAGGTTCTGTTCTTCTTCCTGCTCATCGTCTGAGCACTCACTACTCTTCCTCCTCGCCAATAAATCTAGAACTGCCAGACATCTGCGCTTCTCGCAATCCGTGAGATATCTGCAACTGTTAAGGTAATTGGTATTTTAAGTTGGATGCCCGGCTGTTTTGCACAAGATACAGAATTTACCCACTGAAGGGTTACCTTACTTAGACATCTGGTTGAGACTAGTGGGAGGCTGTTTGTTGTTTGGGAAGGTGGACGTATAAGCTCTAAATGCTTTTGTGTCTTCAATGCTACACAGTTCGTCCAGCAATGACGACAGGGCTTGTGAAATCTCAGGTTGGAGTGACGCCAGAGTCGGATTATGGAATTCAGACCCATACTATCGCTTGGCAAGTTGAGGGAGACCAGGATGGATCAGCTGTAACCACAATAATCGTGATTTTCATGGTTGGGGAGAGATCTTCATCAGCGACTGGTTCCAGACCATGGTGTTGAATGCTACATCCGGTAGTGAGAAGGTTGTCTTCTATGAAAGCGACAAGCCTTTGAAACAAGTCCTCAGGACGTTCCTCTGTCTGGAGTTCTATGTCAACACTATCTAGAAAATGGGTTGCAGTGGATTGGAACCCATAATGCTGCCTGACCTTCTGCCATATGTCATGAACAGAGTCAAGCTGTCAAAGTCAAGCTACACATTTTTCTGCGCTGCTGTTTTTCATCATCCTGTAAGCCCCGAGTAGGATTAACGGCAGTTTTTTTTCTCCAACGTGAAGTCATCTGCGAGACAAGGGGAGAAATTGTCATCTGATGACAAGATATAAACTAGATTCTGTCGCCAGTTTTCAAAAGATGTTATGGTTTCGTGTTTGGTCAACTGCCACTGCATTGGAGCCCGATTTTTAGCCATGATTTCGATTACAATACTGTCACGAAATTGCAAGCACTCACGACGTTACATGAACGTCCAATGAACATAACATGTTTGTGCAGGTTGCTCATCGATTGTGTAGATATGAAAATAACCGATGTCACTGGAATCCTATTTGTCGGATTATTGACGTGAGTAAGAACGCCGCTGCCACCACACCAATGAACATAACCGATCTCACCATGCGTTTATTCGGCAACCATAATGTAACTAGTACAAAACTCGGAATGGTCAAGTATACCATTCCATACAAAGAAAAAGAAACGAACGCCGATTGAGCATGATGGCGTTGTTCTTTTGGGATTTTTGTTATAATTTTGCCATAATAATGCTGGTTTGTTTAGATGGAACGGATACACAGCGCACAAACGCATAGTCGTTTACGTTCAAAAGTTTCAACTTGCATGAATATGTCATGGAAAAAGTGGTTTGCAATATGTACGTTCTGTTCTGAGGAATCGTAAGCAGGGAAATTGGCTATAGACAGCCGGTTTGCTTGAAGACGATCATTGGCATTCTTTATCTAACTGAAAGAATATCGTTATGTCATCTCACTGCTGTAAATCGAAACATCGCCATTGGACGTTTGGAAGCTGGAGAGTCTCTTGCCGTTGCACGTCGCCTCAGTGTTCTATCAATCGTTCATCAGACCGATATCAACAAAGCAAGTTTACGCAAAAAGTGACAGACCTCTAAGTGATAGACCTCTGATTACCACTGCAACATAGGTACATTCGGGAACTTCAATTGTGGAATCAAACTGTCACAACAACTGCAAATGCAAGTGCAGTGTCTGGTTTGAGGAGAGTGCCGGCGCAAACCATTCGTAAACGATCTCTTACGAGAAACTGGACTCTATTTTGGCCCTGTGCCGCTACGACTACATCGACGTCGACGGGTCCAGTAGTGCAACTAACGTTCGATTCTGGTATCTACAAAACTGGCGACGTGTAGGGTTCTGTGGTGAATAAATCTCACTGCTTCCGTGACGTGACAGAAGAATGCGTGGTGGTGTGAGTGTCATGACATGGGGAGCCATATCCTAAACGCAGACATATAACATTGTGCGCCTACATGGCAATTTGACTGCAATTCGGTACAGAAAAGAAATCTTAAGATTTCACATCATTCCAATCATTGACCGTCAGAGGAAGTTGTTCCAGCATGATAATGCCAGGCCTCATAGCTATTCAGTATCTTCAGAATGAAAACATCACAGTGCATCCATGGCCTTCCAAATCGCCCGACCTCAACACCATCAAACATTTGTGGGATGACTTCGGTCAATGCATACGTGAACGCCAACTTATGCCCACTTACCCCCAGTCGCTGGCACTGGAAGAGGAATGACCTAGGATTCCACAAGGTCGAATAAAAAGACTTATTCAGTCCATGCCGAGGCGGCGCAGAGCAGTTTTGGCGGCCAATGGTGGCCACAACAGATATTGAAGATAACGCCGAACTGGGAACGGACACCTTCGCTTATTGAACTTTTTCTAAGCTATACACGTTGTGATCTTTACACTGATAAACTTGACTGCAATAGATCCAGATTTGCAAGTGTTATCTCACTTTAAAGTTAGCACAATAAATTCGTGAAAGTACATCTATTCGTTTATCTTTGGGATGATTTAAATGCGGTGTCGGACCGGGAAAGCGAAATTTCAATATTCCCTATTCCCGGTAAAGCGAAGACCAAAGTTGTACTAGAAGTGCCGCGAAAGCGAATTGCTATGAAAACATCGGATTACCGTACTTCAGATTAACGCGCGACCCCAATACTCGATCTGTTAACCTCTTTACTGAGATGAAGTTTCAGTTGTTTCAAGTTTTCAGCACTTGATCTATGACAAGTTTAAGCATCGGTGTAGGAAAACCTTCCGAGAAAACAAGTATTGAGGCTGTATAGTAATTTGTTAAATTTTTTTTCACTTATTTGACTATTTTATTTAACCCACCGTGCAAAGACGGTTGTTCGAGCAGATGTCACTAATTCTCAGTTAACTGGGACAATTGCTGTCGCCGACATTTTGGTTGTCGGTGCTTTCAAATTTGATAAAAAATCTAGGTGTAGCTGTGCAGGTATTCTAAATAACATAAAATTTTCAATAAGTATCAGCTTTCATTAGGAGTGCAGTAAGTTATATTGCAGTGTCAGAAGCAAACATTTGGTTCTATGGCAGCATGTTTGCTATGTACGGAAGCGTAGTAGGGCCATGGTTAAAATTTTTTTGGTCTTTCTGTCTCCTACGGAGATAGTTAGTCCTACGTAGGAGATACTAAGTCCTACGTAGGAGATACTAAGTCCTACGTAGGCGATAGTAAGTCCTACGTAGGAGATAGAACACCCACCTTTATTCAACGGAAGTTTTGTTATATTTAGTGTCATGAAAGGTGGTTAACCAACCAAAACCCCAAACCCACGTTTAGATTATGTCGGTAGAGTCAGAGTAATTTACGTTACGTTGTGTTTGTTTACAGCTTTTCTCGTGGTAAATCATCGCACAGACCCACAAGATATTTTTTCTTGATTGGCCTGTTCATCTATTCTCGATATCTGAAAACATATAGTTAACATTGATTTTGCTTACAAGATGGAAAAATATGATCGAAATCAGTAGAGATTTTTTAAGCAAGTAATCATTCGTTACCGTTATAGCTCAAATCTAGCATCCCAGTAATAGTCTTCATCACTGTACATTTGGGGCCCGGCGGTCTGTTGTTATAAATGTGCCCCAACCAAGCATTCTGTATTTATTCACCTTGCCATAACATTATTCATTACCAGAACTAATTTACGTTACTATAATTTACGTTACCGCCATATTTGGAAATTTGGAATGTTTTGCGAAACTTTTGTGTTTTGTTGTTTGGTATTGCCGAAATGTCAAATGTGAATAAAAACTTTGACAATTGAAAGTAGTTTTAGGTTGTTATCGCCCTATATATATATATATATATAAGTAACGTAAATTACATTGCGGTAACGTAAATTACGTCAATGAATGCTTAACGACGTAAGTTGTCTATGCACGATATTTTCAATTCCACCTCCACATGATCCATCCATGTGACTTATCGATGAACAGTCTGTGGCTCAAACATTTATTGTTATCTATATATTAAATTTCTACCATGACTACGGTATCAGACGACGACTCACACTTCTTTGTTTTTCTTGTGTATTGAGAGTCTCGGGAACGCTAAATTCAGTGTTAACTGTAGCTTGACCGTTCCCGCGAAAGCGAAACCTAAATTGAGGAGGTTTAATCCAGATTTCGCTTTCCCGGGCCATAACCGTAAATGCAACAGAAGGGAGAGACAGAGTTTATTTCCGGTAAAAGGCCGTAGGCCCAAAATACATTCAAAGGAAATTCCAGTGTAGTCACTGGAACAAAAGGTGTGCTAAATATTTCGAATACAAAATTATATCACAAATTGAATGCTTCAGATTGCATTGGTATTGGGTACCGAAGTATAATTATATTATTATGTTTTGCCTATTGCTCGTAGAGCTAAAGTATTCTTACTGGTTCGTTTTTCACAGTCCCTGACAACACAAACAATGACGGCGTTTACAGCAACTATCTGCTCGGCTTCAAGTCCAACTCCCGTTACTCTATGGATGTGAGGGTTGAGTCGGTGGAGGGAGAGACTGTCATCATCAAATCTGGGAATACCCTGTCTGGCAGAACACTCTCTGTCTTTCAGAGTAAGTGTTATATTTATACAGCAACACATTTCCTTGACAACAAGACAAGAGTTTGTCCATTGTAGGCCATTAATTAGCCCAGTTATATCAGCATATAAGCTTAATGTTGGAGGTTAGTCTGAAGGGATGCTGGTCTTCGGCACAACACATGAACATGAGTTCTGGTGCTGACTAACCTTCAAACATAGTCGTGACGAAACGGAATCCGAACCCAGGATCATACGTTTCTGGCATGCCAGAGGACCACAACTCTGTACAGCCTCAGAAGACTAGTCCACCCGTCCCCATCTACCATAAACGAGTATCACACAGCCTTAAATTGGATCAGCTAGTTTAAAGACAAATGTACTTAAAGACAAATGTTCCAGTCGTATCAGCTTTTCTGTATCAGCCCCGATCAGCACGTATCGCTTATTCACCTCGATTTTGATTTGTTACGCCATAGAGCCCATCACTTTCAACAATACCAAAAGCCTATTGATTTGGGCTTTTCATCTTCATGAGGCGGATACGCCCTGATTTAACTGAACTACAGCTGAACTACTAGCTGAGTCCACGTCTTCATTAGAACCAGTATCTAACATCTAACTTGTATACTTCATCACTCGGTTATCAGCAAATTCAGTTGTCTTAATCCATGGATGATGTGCACTTTTCGGATGAATGGATTTCAATGTTTCGAGTAATTTTGATTATGTAAGTGAATGCTGAGTAACGTCGTTCCATTAGCTATACGACACTAGCCTATAATAGTATACTCAACGTTCCATGAAACATACAAAGGGTCCAACCCTTACTGTCCGACTCTTATGAGAAAGATAGGTTATTCATGATCTATCCCAAAATGACCCTCAGTGATTTGTAGGGATTGCGGGAATCGGGTTGTGATGTTAGCTCAGCTGGTGTATTGTCATCGTACCCCTGCAGAGTTCATTGTAGGACGTGATGCCAATATTTATATACCATTGAGACACACGCGTAAAACAATATCCACTTTACTCACTCGTCAAACTTTCCGGACACGTTTACATATGACCCATGAAGGGGAGGAAGTAACAGTGTTACTAAACGTGCACTGCTGTCACTGCAAACACCATTAAAACTATCATGCAACCTTTTCTGATATTGATGGTCGTATATTTCTCCTAGACACAACACCACCAGTGCGTTATGAAAGGATACAAGCTTTCATCAGAACAGCTTGTCATCGGACCTATGTGGGGTTTGTTGTAGGACTCGGGGCGGTGGGGTAGCCTAGTGGTTAAAGCGTTGGCTCGTCACGCCGAAAACCCGGGTTCGAATCCCCACATGGGTACAATGTGTGAAGCCCAATTCTGGTGTCCCCCGCCGTGATGTTGCTGGAATATTGCTAAAAGCGGCGTAAAACCAAACTCAGTTAGTTAGTTAGTTGTTGTAGGACTCTATCTGTTATTTATATACCACGGTGACACAAGAGTAAAGTAACAATCATTCTACCCACTCCCCATCTTATCCAGACACGTACACATACGCTCCATGAAGGGAAGAAACAACCGTATTGGTACACGTGACTGTTGTCAAAACGATCACTGCAACCTTTTCTGATTTTGATGGTCGTATGTTTCTTCTAGACACAACACCACCAGTGAGGAATGAAACGGTGGAAGCTTTCAGCAGAACAGCTTCTCCAGATGCCATAGATATATCTGGCTATAATTCCTCAGTTGACCAGCTGGATCCAGGACGAGTTACCGACCTTGACATTGCTATAGAAAACAAACTCAATCAAACCGTGACCTTGTCTTGGACTGCTCCAGGGGATGACCTGAATGTCGGAAAAGGTGAGGATCATACGTACTAAAGGAAACGTAATTGTGGTTTTCATAAAGTTAAATTAACCAAAATTTATTCCGAATTTAAATGCATATTGATGAAGACATATCCTCGATGCGCGTTTTGAGCGTTTACTGGAACCATGATAATCGCACATGTGTTTTTCTTAAATGTGTGCAACGCACAGTGATAATTTAGCCATGCCTTTCTTTAATAGTCAATAACTCCCACGCAATGCCAAGGTTGATTGTAAATCATCGTTTGCGCGCCGTGAGGAAACAGGAATTTCATCCATATCAAACATGTTATCATGAGATTCTCTCAGGAGACGTCATCTACAGCAAGGCAACATTCATGACATGACGTGGCCCGTCGTCCCGTGGCCCATCTGTCTGTGTCTGTAGGCCCGTGGGGCGTCACCAGGACACCCGTATAAAGAAATCGATACCAAACTGCCACACTATCAGTTCGTACAATTCCTGTGTTGAAAGTAATTCATGGCATCCGGCTCAGGGAGCAAAACTCCCAGCCTCGGGGTGCAGCAAATGTGCCTCCACGTTACCGTTGGTACAACGTGATGTTGACAACGTCTGAGATTCAGAAGGCAAGCGTTGGACAGTAGGCTGTTCACAGATGAGTACAGACTTTATCTTGACAGCTCTAAAGGTCGTGCAAGGAACAGACTGTTTTGGTGACGGTTTCGTTACCACCATAGTCAGGTTCAAACTAAAATTGTAATCATATTGGGTAGCATCACAACTCATGAGAGATCTCAATTCAACATTCTTCATGGCATTCTGAACGTCGTACGCTACCGGGACGACAGATCTCCGCTGCCAATCATCTTCTGAATCCGACCCGCCGCTGCTGCCTCCCCTGTATCAACTCATCTGGTGGCTACAACTGATTTTGACCTTGTCGGTTACACCAACCCTCTTTTAGAACGTATTCTTCTGTCTCTTGTTACATTTTGTTTGTTGTTTAACGCCGCGCCCTGCAATATTCCAGCTATATGGGTCTCCTGTTACAAGAAATTGATTATGTTAACGGTTTTGTTCAGGTAAAACTTTGATACTGGTATCTTCATTAATATAACATTTGCGCCACTAACATAAAGCTTATGTTTACACAAAAGCCGTTGTCAGAGATATACTTCTTGTTTTAATTTCTTTTACATTATGTTAACAGTTTTACATTTTAATCACACATGGTAGTTGTTCATTGCAGTTGCAAAGTATGAGCTGCGAGTTGCGGTGACTTTTGCGAGCCTCAGAGTTAACTTCACACAAGCCTCGATGGTTATGAACGAAGATTTAGTCACCGGAAGCTTGGACCCACTTCCGGCAAGATCGCAGCAAATGGTCACGATTCGGTTACCGATCAACTGGCCAAGTGATTTCTACGTTTTTGGGCTTAAAGCGTTCGACGAAGCCAGTCGCCAGTCAGAGTTGTCGAACCTTCGTTCCATCACCTTGAAGCCTCTCACCATTCCGCAACAAAACCCTGCCCCTGAGCCTGCCCCCGAGCCTGCCACCAACCTCTTGATATGGGTCGGAATAGGCCTGGGAGCGGCCGTAACTGTTGCAGTTGTACTTGTTGTCATAGTGATCTGTATGTGCATGAGGAAACCTAAAACTAAGGAAAATCCGATATAAGGCTCTTTGGCAAAGACGGTGAATGTTAATAGCAGTTTTAGAATTAACGTAGACTAATTATTACAACGTGATTATGTGTAATTTTGCACTGTGCATCTTTATTTGTTTCAATTACTTAAAACACATATCCTCACATTTGCTTGTGCTTGTCCGATGATTATCTTGTGAAACATGTCGAGATTCAGTGCGATTCATTCCAGTGCGCTTTGATGTTACGTTCTTTAGCTTTGCAGATGAAGATGTTAGTAATTTTACATTACACGCTTGCATGATATTCAACTGACACTCTTTTTATATGTTAAAATCTGAAACATTTTTATGACTGAGAACTGAGAGAATTGTTCATTTCCGGGAAGAATTGAAAATGTTATGCTACCAGTAAAATGTAGTTGGACTAGCTGTATGTTAAGATATTGTACAAAAGAGTCCCCAAAACGAAATGGTAAGCTGAGCCATTGTTATTAAACAAATGACACGTGTTGTATGTATTCAATGATAAGCTGCAGTGTCAGGGACATTTGTCAGTGTCGAGAGTTGTCCTTGAGTCGCTGTGCCTTGTGTAAAACTTGATAAAGAAGTTGTTCATCTATATACCCCACGCTTACTTGCTACTTCTAATGCCTATCTAGACCTTACAGCCAGATGGTGATTTTGGGGATCACAAACAAAATTTAGATGTGAGTAATATGCATTGCACTCATTCTCAGCGCGAGAGTTGTCTTAGCAAGTTTATCATCATAACGACGTCTGGCATCTTGAAACAGTGTTACATTGAATTGCCTGCTTTGTATCTTTGTCCTTAAAATACATTCAACAATAAACGAAAGGAAGTGGCAGACAGTGTTTTTAATGAAACGATTAAATGAGATATTCGATCAACCGGAAACGAAGGAGATTAGAGATTAACATTAACTTGTGATCTTTTTGCCATTGATAACTGTCAAGGCACATGACGAGCGGGTTTGTATAGATGTATATCAAGAACACACCGAAGAGCAAATATATATTGTCAATGCCAGAGAATACACTGTCTCCATTATCCAGAACATTTTTCACTGGGCTTAAAACTCGTCATACCATGGGGACACCAGGTGCTCGCGAAACGGGTAAGCATGTCCTACCCAAAGTGAGTGAGTTCAGATTTACGCCACTTTAGCTATATTCCAGCGATATCAATCACGGCAGGGGATTCCAGAAATGGGCTTCAAAAAAATTGTACCCATGTGGGGAATCGAACCCAGGTCTTCAGGGTGACGAGCGAACGCTTTAACCGTTAAGCTACACCCAACGCTTATTGTTAAATGATACTTTCGTATGCATATACCGACCTGAGTGTTTTCATTGGCACAAACATTGAGTACATGTTGCCTGGACACCGCAGATATCATGTACAGTTCTGTGCAGTACAGTACGGCACACTACAGTACAGGCGCAAATTATTAAAAACGTGATTTTGTCACACGTACTACTTATTCCGCAACAGTTTTTAACGATGGTGATCGTTAGTTGTATACCTGTTAAAGGCTCACACCACAATGCCAGGATTATGAGTCAGAAGGAGCTCTCTTGGAATGTCTTAGATGGTGGCTTCGAAAAGCTATATTGTCAGAAGATTCGGCTATAGAAAGCAGACCATTAACAGACTAATGAGCCGCGTCAGGCAGACTGACAATCTGAAATCCCAGAGAGTGAGCAACATCACCTGCGCATTTATCAACTGGATACACCCAGTATCAGCAGAAACACAGTGATGAGACGACTGCGTGCTGTGGCCATTCTGGCCTATCGACCATTTCAGAGGATGTCATGAACCCTTTCAACATCGACTGAATCTTCTAGGTAGGGCTAAAATCGTGCGACGCAGGGAAAGTTGTATTTGGGTACGCTGTCTGTTGTGTTTGGCTATCATATGTTGCTTATTATATGTATGTATATATATACTTATCTTAAAAAGTTATGACTCACTAGTGTAAATATAGCCACTTACTTCAGGCAACTGTTCTAAACTTAAGTTTGCAAAATATTTCATACTGTTTAAAGGTACTGTTTACACATGAAAAGATGTATTGTAAAACAAATTCGTAACGTTGAAAAGATTATTGTCAAGAGTTCAGTAAATGATGAAAATCAGTGAAAATTGGCGAATTCTTAACAGAACATTACACCCCAATGCCGCTGTTCAAATGCACGATATTTGTACAAGCCTTTCAGCAATTTGATGCATGATCCCCGTACAATTCATCTGCATGAAGTTTGCAGTTGGTTCCCCCAAGTTAGTGGAGACATCATTCTTTGATGTAACAATATATATGTGTGTGTGTGTGTGTGTGTGTGTGTGTGTGTGTGTGTGTATGTATGTGTGTGTGTATGTGTGTATACATAACATATAGTGAGTGTTTTAAGTGAGTCTACATTTTTGAAGAGAAGTATAATATACTCAGCAAAAAAGTCAAGGACCACCTCACTTATCAATATCACAATATCAAATGATTCATAATGTGATCCATATCATGCTTAAATGTTGAATATCGGAGTGGTCCTTATTCCCTTTTTTCTTTTCTTTTTGGGGTGAGAAAATATAATCAAATAATTACATTATCAAGTCATATGTATATGCCAAAGGTGCTATAACTGCTGAATTTAAATATTATGGGACCACATACCAATATCATCTATCAGCTTAGTACGTACAACATAGCAACCTGGATTGTTGTTCATTTAATCAGCTATTGGCTGACAGTGTTAAACGAACGTCTATATTGCTCTGTTGGAGGTCTTTCCTTGACTTCCTGGTACATTTGTGTGGAGCCTTTCCGAGTTGTCCTCGTCCGTCCTGTAACACCATTGGGTAGTTGATTTCAATTGCTTACTTCCTTGTTCACGCTTTGTGCTTGCACTGTTTACGACACAATACGTTGGTGTCGAATTTAGCGAAGCAACATTTAGTTACACTCGACTGGTCTCAAAAGCGTGCTTAGAAGGAACAGAAAGAAATAAAGTGTGGAATTCCCTGAGCGATGAGTCATCGCTATTGACAAGACTCCTTCGAGAAGCTTGCATAATTCATACGCTCAGACACATGTACAGTTTTAATCCAACACAACATATGTTAAAAGAATTCAAGGGTTAGTACTTTACTACTTTGTTACCTGTTATCGAACATTCTTGTCGGAGTACAAATAGCAGTTGGCAAAACAAGTTGCAAAAAATTAATACATGTAATAAAACACTTCCAAACACTCGTATGTTACATGTACGACTTTCCTGTTCCCCGCTCCGAGGACCCTTGAATGACCATGTGGGTATACTCGCTCATGGCAGACCTTTAGTGCCCCCTGCTTCTCGGACATCCGCATAGAATCGCTCTTCAGTAACCCATGCTTGTCGTAAGGGGCGACTAATTTTCAGACAGCCGTCCTATAGCTGGGATATTGCTGAGTGCGGCGTTAAACAACAAATCAACCAACCAACATCCATTGTTTTTAGGTGATGAAAATGACCTAAAACAACATGCACTCACTTACATACTTGATCATTTACATGCCACCGTGACACAGTTGGACATACATATATTATGTCACCATGGCAGCGCCAGACACGTGTTCCTGACACGCGGATGATGCACCAAACCAGACAGAGATGCCAGGACAGTATACTGTTTATGGTTAAAGTGGGTGATGTTTGAGTTACGATTGTGTAGATCGTTGTTCATGTTTTTCATCACTGGTCTGTCCGTTATTCTAAGCCTCCTTGGTATAGGTAGATATGTATTTAGTGTGATGACACACCTTTGTGCAACCTTAGTCAGGTTACAAACATGGACGTTTCGGTTTTTTCAAACCATCAAGTGCTACACAAAAGGCGTCCTTCAGTGTCACTGTATTTGCTTGTGGGTGGTGTTCTTTGTGGATATGGAAAGGTATCTCGTGCTCGGGCAGTGTATCAGATGTAAGGTGAGAATCAAAGGGAGAAAACTCTAAATATACCTATGGAACTTTCAAGAAATGACACTTGGAAGTGACAGGAAGACTCACACTCGTGTGATATCACTTGGGATATGGAAAACTATTTATGTCAGTTATACCTGCAGTGATTTTAAATATTTCCTTTCTTAATATAAGATATCTTTTAAACTTATCCAATAAACTTTGAACAACAATCTCTCATAATTGTCGGCCAAAAAAGCAAATAGGTCTACAGCGAGGACCAATCAACCTCTATGAAAGTACATCAGTCAGTCCAAGAGAGTACCCCAAAATACAGCACCTTGAAATCTACCAAAAGAAATATGCATTTTTCTAATGGCTTTTGGGAGGAATGTTGTCACATATTCATAACATCAAATCCTATGTACATTCTTACTGACCGAGTGGTAAGTGAGAGTTTACTAGTTCAGGGAAATGTGGGCAGTGTTCACATCGGCAGGGATGATGACACAGCGTTAAATTATCGCAATATGTGCAACTTTTGGACAGTGGCTGCTACATCAAGGGCACTCACTCACTGCAGATACACTTTGCCATTTCCAAGAGACTGATAGCATCGTGCATTTTACAAAAAGAGAAACCTGTTTCTGAGTTTGGTCCCAAGAGTCACTTTTTGTAAAAGTAAGGACACAGTGAAATGCCTGTGATTTCAATTTTGCTGAAGATGCGTCACGTGATCACATATTCTCCCTTCTGCTGGTACCGTTAGGCCAGTGTAGGTTTAAAGAACCCACAAAGTGTTACACAGCTGTTCACAGTGGCACGTTTGCTACTTTTAAACAGCAGTTGAATTTTAAGAGACATGATAGTGCAGGGTCGGATACGTTTGCTTAGTGTTGTAGATGTTGTGCGTCAGAGTCAATGCTGTATGAAGACAATGGATACAGTCTACTGATGACCATCAATACAAAGCAACACAGGATCTTCGCACGATGGCAGAGCGCGTTGAAAATCGATATCCGACGTTATGTTCAGTGACAACTATTTGCTTCTATTGTTCACGTTCCGTTGTGT